GGAGCAGCAGGGGGAGGAGTAACAGCTGACGAGTCCGCCAACCCGGAGCAGGGGAGGCGGAGCCCGAGCCCCGGAGCCGCCGCGGGCGCTGCCTGGGCTGTAGTTTCCCGGGAGAGAGGAGGAGGAGCGGAGCCAAGCGCAGCGCAGCCGGGAGCCCAGCTCCAGCCTCCCGCCAGGGGTTGCAAGTGTGGGAGGTAAGCGCGGTGCCCCGCTCGGGCGTCCGCACCCTGTCCGGGAGAAAGCTTCTTCCCCAGGAATTGGAGGAAGTCGCAGCTCAAAGAGTCTCCCTTGGGTTATTAAACCGGTGCAAACCCCGACGTGTAAAAGACGTAGGTTTCTGGATTTTGGCGGGCAAAAAACCAAAAGGTGGCCTGACCCTGAGTATGAAGGGCGTGGTTAGTGTTTTGGGTTTGAGTTGCAGCAACTGCTCCGGGAGATCGGCGTGATTGAGCGAAGTCCTGCATAGCATAGTAAGGGTAGATGGGTTGATACCTGGATAGGTGCTTAACCGGTAAAAAGCAAAAATTTTGTCATTGATACAGAATTACTTTAGAACTTTCATTAGGAAAATAACTTTGCGTTCCTATTCGTTGTCTACCCTTTGCGTTGGTTTATCAGATTGTCCTGCTAAGGACCTGTTATCCAGGGTGGTTATATTGCAGGTTCCTAGAATTGCAAGAGAATTGAATTAAGCAAATGTAAGCCAGAATAGTCAGGCTAGGACAAATTCAGTTGGAACCTATCAAGTAAAACTTTAGCTAGCAATAACGTGGAAATATATTTTAATGGGTGGATATTTAGCTTTCCTTTCAGCGGCTCTGGAATATTGAAAACAAAGACCTGAGCTGAGCCTACAATGGGAACATGTGGTGTACTTCATTGCTGCTGCTTACTCTCATTTGTGTCCGGTAACATTTGTACATTTTTAAAAACAAGAATCCAAGGAAAGCTGTGTAAGGATCTTTTCTCAGTTTAGAACGTATATGTAAATTATGTTAACCTTAGTGCTGTATGCGTAACAATGGGTTCAGGTTTCAAACATGTAGTGTCGTAAATCAATAGTTTATTCTCAGTATTAAACCACGTGTATATTCCTTTTAATGTAACTGTAGTATCTCTGGAAACCTGTAATGCTAAGTAAAAGATAAAAGTCTCACCCAGCTTTGTGTAACTATGACAAAATTGCAGCCTCCTCTTTGTAGAAAAGTATTAAGAATATATTTGCCCAGTTCATTTTCGTTTTCTTTTTGTTAGAGTTCCCCAGATTACATGGCTTTTAATCATAGTAGCATATTGCAGCATATTTTGCTCTGAAATGCCTTGATTGTGACAGTGGAGTGTTTTGGTCTGTCTGGATTGTTTTGAACTATGGTCAATAAAAAAGGAGTAATTAACTTCTATTTTCTTCTATTTTTTACTTAGGGTTTTGAATTTTATTTTTGTAGTGCACACACATTTCCTTTTTGAGAAGAAATGGCTCAAAGGTATTATTGCTTTTCTCGTTTAAAGTTAAGTCCTACTTAATGCTACTACTGATTTTGCTACTCGTGTACTCTCTTCCCACATTCTCATGCACCAGAGAAATATTCACAGACAAATCTTTAAAAAGCAGCAGCTTCTAGATTGTTCCTAAGTAGATCAGGTAAGTATTAAAAGCAGCAAGAGCTTAAATGAAAGAAAAAGGGACAATAGCCACTAAATGTATCAGTCATGCCATGATAAGGATCAGATTGTATCTTTGCTACCTTACTGTGGAATCTATTAATCCCTATGCTGATAGGACCTCATGAAAATGATTTTTTTGGGGGGAAAAGTGGATACTGGGGTGTAGGGAAGCTTGGAAAAAGATTGAGTTTACCCTTGTTATTTGTGTTTAAATGCATTGTCCTTAATCAGCCTTAGATTTTCAGGCTGCATTGCTAATTCATGTGGTGAAATTGGACACTTGCTGTCTCTGGGTTATCTCCCTTCCCCATGTATTATAATAGTTAATTATATGACGACAGATTTCTTTCAGGCCCTTTATTAAAGGATCTTTTTGAAAGAATTTTGTTAGCCAAGTCAATGGGTAGACGATAATAAAAAAATAATTGAAATTCAGGTATACTTTGAATTCCAACTGTGTGTATCGGGCCTCTGCCCCAAGGTGTAGTACATTAAGACTAGAATTTCTTTAGGAAAGAATAAGTTTGTGGTATTAAGATACCAAACTGTCCCATTTCTACGATTTGGATCCTTTTAAGAGTATCACAGAAAAATAGGTTCCTGTATCATTTGGAAGTAAGAACACGTTTTTATGTGAGAGAAAAATATCATCAGTATATGATATTTGGGTATTTGTTACCTTGAACTCTTTATTGATGTTTACATTTAATCTCAAATCATCTGGACTTTTCTTGATTGGTATTCAGAATGCTTGTTAATTTTATTTAAAGTACTACCTTCGTTAAAAGCATTATAAATTTTTTTCCCCTTAATTTTACTGCTTGCATTTGGCTACCCCCAGTGCAAGATAGGATGAAAAAGAAAAGCAGCAGTGCAGAATGTCTCTCTTGAATTGAAATGGCTCTGGAGATTACTAACCTTAAACCGAAAGACTTGTTTAATTTTAAATCGTACTATACTGGAGATTACTAACCTTAAACCGAAAGACTTGTTTAATTTTAAATCGTACTATATTTTGGGCTTTAAAACTTTTTTTAAATCCTAATTCTAAGCCTATTGAATAAAAATAATTGAGTAACATGGATTTCTAACAGGAGGATTTATTGATGCATGTGACAAAAATAGCACTATTGAAAGGTTTAAGATCCAATGGTTTTGTGTAGACAGGAGACAGGGACAGATATGGAAAAACTGCTTGAGAAACACGCCGTACGCCTGAGAGAAAAATGATTTGAGTTTTTTGTAGAATTTTTAGAAGTGATAACACCCCCTGCAATTACTAATTTCTAGACACCTATAATCATAGTATAGATACCACTTTTCTACATAAGTATTTTCAGTGGAGTCAAACTGGCATTAATTCTTTAGATTTTGAATAATTATGGGTTAATAAAGCAGAAAAGAGCCTGTCTGTGTATGTGTTCACATCTCAGTGGGAGATGATTACATGAAAAAGTAAAAACCTAAAACAATATCTTCCCCCTTAATAAATAATATGAAGTAGACAATAGAACATGATCCTATTTATGCAAATTCCAGTTTGGAAATTGTGATTTAAGTACTAGACTGCTAGCTCCTCATATACTTTTCTATTTCCTGTTGAAACTGAGCACCTTCTGTCATGTTCAGCATAAAGAATTTGCCTTGTGACCACTTTCTGAATTAAAATTATTGGCCAGTACTTGTGTTATATACACATAGAAGCATTCTATACTTTGATAGACAAGAGTTGGTTGGTCTCACAGAATGATTACTGTGCAATACATTATTTGTGAAAATATGTTGTTCTAATTAGCTTTGCAAAAATGTCAGTTGAGCCCCGTTTGATTCAGTCTTTGTGGGCTGCAGACATTACAAAGGTAGGGACTGTAGCTGAGGGAGAAGAGCTCTTCCAACAGAGGAGCCCAAGGTTTATATTTTACACCCAGGCAAGCTATGGCTTGCCCCACTTACCTTTAAGTCCTTAAAGTCATATCTTTGTTGAACTTTATCTTTAAAAAAAATTATTCTTCATCCTACCAAAAGTGAATTTGTGCTTCTAATTTTCTCTCCCTGCTCCCCCTAAAAAAGAAAGAAGAAAATCACACTAATTTTTGTAAACATTGTTTTGAATTTGACATACCAGACACAATCTGATGAACATTAGAATTAAAAATTTAGTGTGCTGTAGTTAGCTGAATTCTTCCTACTTTGTATCTTTAGAGCTAACACAAAGTTTTGATTTCTGTACTTACCTTGAGAGCTTAATATTTAGTCCATACTTGGTAGGTGGTAACAATTTGTTAGCTACTTGCACACTATAATGAAACATCATTTCACAAACAAGTACTAAAATAGTGAATTTTTCTTGGACATTTAGCAATAAATTCAGCCCTTTGCCTACAGAAGTTGCTTATAGTAGAGCTAAATAATAAAATACACATCACTGTCTTTTGTTGGATTCTGAATATATAGAGCAAATATTACTATTAGCCGCTACCTTTGTGTGTGTGTGTGTGTGTGTGTGTGTGTGTGTGTGTGTGTGCTTTCAATAAGAATTTATTCATTGACTGCCGTTTGAAATTTGTATGGTCCTTTTCTCTGACTCTAGAATTCTGTTTTAAAGATGTGCTTTGAATCAGTATTTTGCCAACACACATCTACACACTTTTTATGACTTTTTTCCTTAACATATGGAAATAAGAACTTAAAAAAATTAAATGTAACGTGAAATTTTATCTCACCCAGAATTTAAATGATCTTGAATATTTTATTTTTAGTGAAATGTTTATATTCGGAGGCCTTTTTATTGCTTACTAAAACTGAATTACGACTGTTTAATTTTTTTGAGTTATAACAGGAAGGGATAAGTTTCAAATCTTGGCTTTCTATACTATTTAGCGGCTGAAGCTTGCATGGTTTCTGTAGCACCAAACCTCAGATTTGAGGCCCCCTTCTGGTTTAGTTGAGGAAAGGAGCCTTTTGGACTCCTCACAGCTGTTAATTTAGTAGCAAACCAGACAGATGGAATTTACTTGGATTTAATAACCTAGTTTTTCTAAATTTGTGTTTTTCCCAGATATATCTTGTACTGGAGTTATCAGTGACACTAGCTCAAATGTCACATAATGATTTCCATGGTGCAGTCTGGCAATTCAGCAAGTACCTATCGACTTGTTCATTTCTTATCTAGCATCTTAGCTTTTCGTTGTTTGTTGGTTTGATTTTTTGGAACCAGAAAAACTCACTGGAAAATTTCTGATCCTTTACCTACATTTGATTTCTTTTTTCATTTTCCTGATAACATAAATTTTGTGGTTATTTTTGAGCTCTTTTAACCCTATTTAACTTGAGCTAGTTCATTTTTCTACCTCTTGATAGAATGCTATGAAGAGCATATTATGAAGCGATTTTTTTTGCCTTTAACTTGAATTAAACTACTTATCAGACCATTTAATTATTTATTTCACAAAGCTATTTAAAGTCATTGAAGCAGTTAATATCTTTGAGATATTTATCCTTTTAGTTAAACTTCTATTTAATATTCTAA